TCTTCTTCTTCTTCTTCTTCTTCTTCTTCTTCTTCTTCTTCTTCTTCTTCTTTTCCTCCTCCTCCTCCTCCTCCTCCTTCTTGATAGGGTTTCACTATGTAGCCCAGGCTGGCCTTGAACATTCAGCAATCCTCCTGCCTCAGCCTCCCAAGTGCTGGAATTATAGGCATGTGCCACCACAGGCAGCTTATAAATGTATTCTTCATGTGTCATGATTGCTTTGTTTAAAGCAAAACTCAAACACAATATCCACCTTACATTTGTCTGTTATGAGCTACACCGCTGGTGCTTATATCTCTTAAGTTTCTTTTGCTCTAGAATCCTTCCCTTTACTCTTCATCCCTGTTTGGTTCTGGGAACTGAACCCAGGGCCTTTGCACTGAGCTATATCCCCAGCCCACTTTTTATTTTGAGACAGGGTCTCACTGAGGGTTTTTTATTTTTTTGTTTGTTTTTTGACTTTTTGAGCCAAAGTCTCCCTATATAGTTAAGGGTGCCTTAACTCACTATGTAGCCCAGGGTGGCCTCAAACTCATGGTGATCCTCCTTGCCTCAGCCTCCCAAGGGCTGGGATTACAGGCGTGGGCCACCACACCCAGCTTCACTATATATTTTTTAAAACTCCCATTGAGTTATAGAAGACACTGGGTTAGGTTGTCCCATACAATACCCCAGACTCTGGGGCTGAGGGCTCAGTGACAGTGCTTGCCTAGCATGGCAAGGCCCTGGGTCCCCAGGACCACAGGAAGAAAAAGAGACCAATATCTCACATTCTGAATTTGCCTACAGTGAACCCTTGGCTTATGAACTCAATTCATTCCCAAGGGCAGTTGTAACTCAAGTTGGTCAACTGAAGGCTCAGGCTCCTCCACACAGCCTTCAGAGTCTGTCTCCTGTACACAGACAGATCTCAGTGTCCTGAGAGAGACACTGGCCCAGGATTTCTCAATTAACTCACATAGGAAAGAATTGTAATGTTCCTTCCAGAACTCTTTAAGGGTTAAATCTTCATATATTTCTTTTTTTGTGTACCTGGAATTGAATCCGGGACCTTGTGCTTGTAAGGCAGGCAGTGGAACCACTGAGCTAAATCCCCAGCCCTAAATCTGTATCTGAGGCCATCTGGAAGCATAAGCATCCAGCATTTGGGTCATAACTCAAGACTTTGTTCGTAAATTAAAACTGAAATTCTTTCTGGCTTGTGACCCAAGTTGTTCGTATTTCAGGCCAGTCATAGCTTGAGGGTCCACTGTATTTGCTTCCTCTTGTTCCTTCATCATCCATCATCATCTTTCCTGTAAACAAAAGTTAGCTCCAGAACCTTGGTTAAATTCAGGCTCACTTTCTCCGGCAAGGCTAGCTCTTGGTGGGACAGCCACTGCTGATGTAATAAAACCTCCTACACCATGGAAGCAATGTTGGGTCATCCCAGGAAGCTCTTGTGACCTTCCCCCAAGCCACTATGTCAGGGAGTCATAGTCCAGCCACTGGCTTCCACCTTTGCCTTTTTACTCCTTGCTAGTGTTCAGCAGTGATTACCTATTTTGTTACTGTCCAAACCAGAGACAACAGGCTGGATAGGGGCTGCACAATAAGCAGGCATGAGTCTTCCAGGGTTTTCCCTGCAAGCTACAGAAACGCACTCTGCCTGGCTTAGTAAAGGTTATAGGATGGACGGTGGGGTCTGTAGCTGAACGGCTGCTCTCAGAAAAGGGACCGAACCTTCAGGAAGCTGGGCAGAGCACCCCTAGCCGGGATCACCCCACACCATCCTACCAGGTGGGAAGATGCTGCTCCACTTCTATCACCAGCATCAGCTACTCCTGCCTTCCGCTGTCTCTTGACCCTGAGCCATGGGTAGATTCTAAACCATCCCTTTTGCTTTGTGTCACTTGCTTAAGGTTCGTAATTCTTGTCAAGGACAACTCGTTTGCCAGGATGGCTCGCAAGCTGCCTCAGGCAGTTTTCCATTATACAACAAGATACCCGAGAGGATCGACTGATCTAGATAGAAGGTTGGCTCGCAGTTGTAGAAGTTCCAGCCCGAGATCAGATAGAGCCACTGCTCGTAGGCTTCAGGGGTGGAGAAGGCCTGGCATAGCAAAGCATCTCACCTCATGGCCAGGAAATGAAAGAAAGAGGAAGTGGGAGAGGCCAGGGTCCACAGTCCCTTTTAAGAGCGTATCTAAAGACCCTCATGAGCCCTTCTCAAAGGTTCCACCATTGCCAGTGACGCCACCAACCTTTTAACTCACAGCCTTGGTCAGTCAAGATCCAAACTGGAGCACAAGTCCACACCTTGCTCCAGGTAGGCTGGGAAAGAGAGTAGCCGGACCTTTTGGCATCCACAGTGGGATACTCTGCCTCTCCTTAGACTCAGTAAACAAGGGATCAGCACTCATGGGAAGGAGATTTGAATGCTGAGTAGCTGAGAACCTGTACAGAAATCCATTGTGTAGAATGAATTGGGTTATTGATTGGATCCACCCAAAGGGGAGGTAATGAGGAACCAACAAGGACAAACGAGGTTCTCAAACAAAAGAGCACTCACAGTTTTCTTCTGACCACCTACACCTGATGATCCATGATGGCCCTTAGAGTTTAGCAGGCATCAGAATCACGCAGAGTTAAATACAAAATGTTGGGTCCACCTTGAGAGTTTCTGACTCTGTGGATGTCAGTCTGGGAGTGTCAGTGAGCTTTCTGTTAGTGGGGCAAAATACTCAAAATGCAGAAAGGCTTGTTTTGGCTCACAGATGTGGAGGTTTCAGACCATGGTCAGCTGGGCCCATTGCTTTTGGGCCCCTGTCTAGGCCACACAACATGATGGGAGCTCAAGAAATAACCTCTCTTATTCTGTTCCCTAACTGTCTATTGATGTCATTCAGAAGCTGTGTTACTGGTCTAGTTTTGGGGTTCTTATCCACTAAAGTACAAAGCTTCCTTGCTTTTTATTGCCCTTCCTCTTTTCCTTCCCTCTCTTCTTCCTTCTTTTCTTCCACAGTCAATCCTTAATGCCCGTACTGCCTCAATGTACAATCAATTGTAGGAGTTTCCATTTAAGATTTAACATTTATCCTCTTCAAATTTTGTTGCTTTAGGGCCAGGGATTTAGCTCAGTGGTTATGCCGCCTGTCTCAAAAGCACAAAGACCAGAGTTTGATCCCCGGTACAAAAAAAAAAAAAATTCTGTTGCTTTAGCCTTGACTCTATCTGCCTGCTGTGATTTTTGTTTTGTTTGGGTGCTGGGGATGGAACCTGGGGCTTCATGCTTACTAAGCAATCCCTGTGCCACTGAGCTACACGTCCAGTCCGTGTTGTGATTTATTTAATCTTAAATAAATGATACAATCAGCACAATATATATACTTATTAATTTATTCATTTATTCAGTAGACATTGACAGGTCCTCCGTATTATTATAGTCACCCCTCTGATCCCAAGCATTAATCAAATGTTGGTCAGGACAGGGCTGAGGACAGAGCCTCACTGCACCTACAGCCAGGAAGACACCAGCAGCTGATCAGCACTTTGCAGAATATGCTTATTTCTTCTCCTTCGTTGTTTCCCTGACTCCCTCTTGTTTACAGTTGCACCTCCAGGCAGCTGGCACAGGCCTGGACAAAAGGAGACCGCACTGTCAAGCAGCCCATCTGTTTTCTACCCTAGAAGATTCTGTGTCTCAAACAACACCGTGGCCCAACATGTGGGTCGTTGGAGCTAGGTGTGCCTCTCAGCTTTGTACTTGCTGCTGGGGACCTGGAGAGTCACTTCAATTCTACGAGCCTGTTTCCTGATCTCCAAAGAGGATGATGAATTCCATCTCACAAGGCTCTTATGAAGATTAGACATAATCTACCTAGAATATCTAGTAAATAATACTTTATTCTTATAGTGCTAGAGATCGAACCCAAGGCCTTGTGCATGCTAGACAAGTGCTCATTGCTGGGCTATCCCCTAGCCCTCAATAAGGCTTTTTCAGATTTGCATGTGGAAAAACTGCAAGGATTTACAGTTAGAGGAAATTAGATTTTTTCAAATCCTATATAAGTTCACAGAAAGCTTTAATTCAAGAATTTGCAAATTCAAAAAATAGTAGATACAAAAATGATTATCAAATAATAAAATATTTTGTCATGATCTTTAATGAAACTAGTTTTCTACTTGGTTAAAATACACTCTATGGCCATTGTAGCTATTTCCTTCATTATGTGTAGCAGCATTTAAAATCATCACTATATCACTGTTCAATAAAAAACTTTCCCAAGACTCAAGAAAATACACAAATTGTATTTTCTCTGTGCTGCATATGTAAAGTAAGAACATTGTATCAGACTCTAGAAAAATGATACCATTTTTCTGGTTATTCTATAAGGAATATAATGACACTAATCAAAGAATTTAAATATTTGTGTCTGGTTTTTAAAAAGTAGAGATAAACAACTTATAACTGTAGCTAGAGGGGGACTTTTGATGGTTGGGGACATTTGGGGGGAACTGCATTTCATTATACAGCCTTTGTACCTTTTGAATGTTGCGCTACGTGCATATATTACTGGTTCAAAAAAAATAGTTAATCCTTTTTAAGTAGTGGAAAAGGAATTTTAAATAACACTATCCTTTTCACAGAAAGCTGCTTTTTTATAAAATCTCAGACTGGAATACAGAAAAACCAAACTAAATTCCCTGAAAAGTCCCATTGAAGTCTTTTTTTTTTTTTTTTTTTGTACTGGGGATTGAACTCAGGACCTTGTGCTTGCAAGGTAGGCGGCAGAACTACTGAGCTAAATCCCCAGCCCAGAGCCCCATTTAAGTCTGATAATGTGTATGCATTAAATCAGTTAAATGAACCACACTAAAATAGATTTACTTAATAACAACCTCTAAACTCCACTTGATGGGCATTCAAATGAAAACTAAACTGTTTGTACAAAGAGGCCTGATCCATTACAAAAACTTTACTAAGAACATCAAATTTTAAACATGGACACTTTTTAAATAGAGTGAACAGGACGGTGAGCTCGACTTAGCTGTTACATCATCAAAATACCTTTTTTCAAAATATTTTGGGCAACTGTGCAGCTTCTACGATTGTATCTTTGATTTTTGTTGACAAAATTGTATCATATGAATAATGAATAATCTATATAAATGCTAACTGCTTATTTAAGCCAAATAAGCCAGAGTTTTCGAAACAAGATTATACTTAAGAGAAATTAAGAATATCAAGCATCTCTGAGGACTTCTTAGATCGCTTACTTTTATGATACAAGATGAGAGTCCTCCAGTTTGTAAAACTGCATACAAATAGTTTATTTGGAAAATGTTTCAAGTGTTAATATGTGAGGGAACATCATTGCAATTTTCATAGCCCCGGCCACTGTTATACAACAGTTGCTATGATAGAGATGGTCCTAGGTGGTTCAGGAAATGCGAGAAAAATGAAAGCTGGAGCTGGGGGTGCAGCTCGCTGATAGGGGGCTTGCTAGCATCCCGTCTGAGGCTCTAGGTTCAAACCCTAGGGGAGGAAAGGAAGGAAAAAGGAGAGGGACAGAGGGAGAGAAAAAGGGAGGGACAAGGTAAAATCCTTGCCTTGAGGATAGAATAAATACCCAAGTATGCAATAGCTGCTTGAGGAAGTCCATAAGAACCTGCAAAATCCTGGAACCAGAAATGTAAGTTACATTCTGCAAATATTTCAGCCTAGTGTCTAGTAGAAGCCGAGGGTTAACAATAGACACCTGATGGACGATGACTCATAATTTTTTTGTTTGTTCAGCTCACCAGAATAAAATGATTTATTTCTTGCAGTAGTCATATAAAACAATTTGCTTGTGAACTACACATGAGATTTGCTGCTAAGCACGTACAGCGGGGTGGGGGCTCCTCTAATTTAGCTGACGCCAGGGCAGCAGCTCCCTGCCAGGCGCCTGCGCAGTTGAGCAAATACCGAGGCTCTCGCCTCTTTACCAACCGCAGCAGCCAAGACGGCTTCACGTAAGCCCAAAACTGAGGACGACACCAGGTCTCCTAGAGCCACAGTCCCCTCGGGGACAGCAGGGAAGACTCCAGAGGCCGCCGTCTTCTTGGTAGGCCCTTGGGAAACTGGGAGTCGCAAGGCGGAGCCTCAGGCCACCCTGGAAAGCCCCGGGGTTGCTTGGCCCGCAGGCATCCAGCTGGTCTCCCAGAGGACATCGCAGGGACTCTGCAGCCAGCCCGAGCCTCCAACCCCACCCAGAGGGCGGGATCCCCACGGGTGTGCGCCCAGCTTTGTCTTCATCGTCTTTCAAAGCTAATATTTTGTTAAACTGTTGCCAGCGACCACTCAGCAGAGGTGCGAGGACTCTCGGCCGCAGTCTTCACCGAAAAGGCCTGGAAGGTGTTCGAAGGCCACACTGGGTGATTGCAGCCCCTTCTGCCCGGATCAGGGTTCTAGGAGTCCCGCAGCGACCCCTTCACAGACGTGTGTCTTCCAAACTCTTCACATTTCTATTTTTCTTTTCCAGGACATGAAAACACTCAGGCCAGGCATGGCGCTGTGAGCCTCTATTCCCAGCACTCTGGGAGGCTGAGGCAGGAGTGTCATGAGTTAGAGCTTCACCTGGGAAAGAGAGATTCTGTCTCAAAATAATAATAATAAAAAAAGGGCTGGTAATATAGCTCAGTACACAGGCCTTAGGTTCATCCTTAGTATCACAATAAACAAATACACAAATAATGGTACTGCGTGGTCAGACACTGTAGTGCCTAATATGCTACCTCAACTCAATCACTGTTTCTTCTTAACAGTCAGCAAGCAAATTTTATTCTCACTTTACAAATGAAAACACTGAGACTCGGAGAGGTTAGGGAATTTGCCCGGGCTGATGTTAATAAGTGGCAGATGTGATCTGAATGCAGGACAGCATGGCACGAATACCCTGATCTCTGCCCTCGGCATAGAGCTATGTCATTCTACGTGCTGTAGAAGGCAAGAAGTCCCTACCAACACCGGGTTATTTTTGAGGATTAGCTGAGAAAACTTCCATGAGCCACAAGGCACTGCTCATCCTACCACAGGAGCTCCGTGATTGTATATTTCAGGTCATTGTCTTAGGTCCTGAAACATGTGCAGTGGAGTGGAACAGAAAAATAATGATTTTCTATAGGATTTCTAGTGGGTTCTAAAATAATAGGGACAACTATTATTTATTTTAAAATAGCAACGCTCACATGACTCCATGGTAAGTCAGGTGGCCAAGATAAAAATAGATGCTAAACATAGCAAGAACAGAAATTCAATCTGTGATATCAAGTCATGGAAAGCAGTGACAGTGGTGGCAACAGAAAAAGAACAGCACGCATCAACTGATTATGCATTTGGGTAAAATTATCCTTCTCCCTTTGGTCTCACTCTCTTCCTTCTCACGGCAGAAAGCACACATATAAATGCATATATATGCAATAAATAAACCAAGATGATCTATCCCTATTTATCTGTAACATTCAAAACCTATTCATTTTGAGGCTTTGGTACTTGTTAACACATAGTAGATATATTACAATACATAATTCCTTAAAATTTTTAAGTGGAGAGAAGGAAGAGGGAGGAGAGGGAAAGGAGATAAATAAAAGAATTAAGATGTATTATGTACATGTACCAGTCCCCATGAGGAATATAATCATTATGTGCTGTAAACCCGGACTAACAAGAAATAAAAATTTAAAAACAAAATAAAATCTGTATGAAGAGAAAAATTAGAAAAAATTTTTTAGGCGGGAGCTGGGCATGATGATGAATGCTGATAATCCCAGCTCCTTAAAAAAAAATAATAATAATCCCAGCTCCTTGGTAGGCTGAGGCAGGAGGATTGCAAATTCAAGGCCAACCTGGGGAACTTAGCAAGACTCTATCTCAAAATTAAACATTTTGTTAAAAAAAAAAAAAAAGATTGGGGTTATCACAGCAGTAGAGCACTACTAAGTTCAATCCCTAGTACCATAAAACCCCAGTCTTTAGGTGGAGGGAACAGAACTGTTAATATTCAAAATACTTGGGATGCACGTGGCTAGACTAGTAGACTGCTGAAGAGGAAGGCAGACAGAAGCTATTATTCCCAGCTATTCCTTCTGTGCTCAGAAACTTTACAGTGGCCAGGTCAGAAAGTTGGGTTACAACTGTCACTTGAAACCCCAGCAGCTGGTAAGCCAGATAAGAACTCCAGTCACCGTGCCAAGCACTGGTCCCAAAACCACAACTGGCCCTCTGGAAAAGGACCAGAGCTCAGGCTTTGCTTCAGTCTCTGTCTTTCAAAACACTATTTGGAGCATGTCATTATTTTTCTCTCAGTTGCTAGGGTGCTTCAGCCGTGGGCATGATTATCTAAGGAGAGATCCATGAAATACGTAGCCTTAAATCACTTCATCTTATTTCATGAACATCAAGGCGAGAATGACAGACCCGGGTGTATTGTAACTTGGAGTAATGGCACATTTCATTAAAAACTTTCATAAAAATACATGAATAAAGGCAGGTACCTTTGAGGAATGAACTTGTTGGGTAGCATATGAAGGATTATAAAAAAACCCCACACAGTCCTCGTATACTCAAATTAGAAAAATACAGAGAAGATTAGCAAGGCCCCATGTGAGGAAGACAGGTAAATTCATGAAGAGATCCATATTGAAAAAAAAAATGTTTATGAAAGGACATAGCCCAAAATTGATTTATAAGCTTAACAGTAATACTTTTGACCAAAGTTTGTACTTGTAGAACACTATAAAAAGTGAGAGAACCAGGGCTTAAAAACATAGAGAGTGATGAATAGTGTAAGCGTTGGACTCAAGTTACCCACATGTGGTCAGCACACACTTTGGGACCTTGGATAAAGAATCTCACTTTTCTTAAAATGACAGACGGGAAGAGTCATGCTGCACTCTCCATACAGTGGAGGGTCAAGGCCCTGCGTGTCATGTTGGCTATGACCTACCACATAGGATTCGAAAGAGTGGCTACTGTCTCCTAACAGTAACAGACGA